AGACCCCGCGGGGGGGTCTCGCAGTTTCGCAGTTGCTGACAACATCTCCCCCTCTCCATGCTCAAGAAAGCATACTACAACTCGAGAGGACCCTAACCGCGTACACCCCGAAATCCCCGCATTGCGCCTATACATGCCATTGTCCTCTCGGTTAAGCCTTGCCCCGTTACAACCCGATTCGCAAAATATCCTATCCTAATAACCCTATAACTTATATAACACTATATAACTTATAACCCTATATAACCTTATAACTTATAACCTTATATACTTATAACCTTATAATTTAATGACCTATATACTTATAACTTTATAACTTATATACTTACAACCTTATAACCTTATAACTTAATGACAACCTATTATCTTAACAATCCTAAAATCTTAATATCTTATATAAGTTCTACCTTAACGTTATAACCGTCTATCAGCCTTAAAATAAGTCTTACAAAAAACGATGCAGTGTATCCCTATTTAATGCTAAATCAAGCTGGGACACTTGCTTTAGCAAGCGCCATGTCTTTATATATAATATAACTATAAGAACCAAGCATAATACTATTAAACCTAATATAACAACTACCGGATGTAGTACAGAGTTAAATATTCCCGTAGCTGTGGGAGACCAACCGAAAAGAACCTCCCACCAGTGATGTTCTCCAGCTTTCATTACTCTTTCCAAGACGCGATGTATCTTTTTCACGTCATGATGAACAGTAATCAAGGTCTTTTGTCCGTTGTCTTTGATGCGTTCTAATAGTCGATGCAGATCGTCATGTTGTAGAAGCTCCTTTACCAATGCGAGATTCATTCCAATCAGCGCTGGACGCAAATCTTTGATCAGAGTGTAATTGAACTGCAAAAGCTGATATGAAGTAACAGGAACTGTATAGTTAAAATCACATCCTAAAATATTGATAAAATTGCAAACACAAAGATTTGAGTGATTGGCAGTATCAACAATCATATCCCCTATTTGTATGGAGTCGCAATGAGTTCTGATGCAAGCACATCCTTTTCCAATATATACAAGCATTGATTCGAACATCCTACCAGGCTGGACCTCAAAGTGGCAGATATTTTGTTCAGTGTCAAAACAGATATCTTGGGTCTCAAATGTATTACTTTCACAAATAAATCCTTGTTGTTCTCGCATGGCACATGAACTAACGTCCACAGTTTGCCATTTCTCATTCTTTTGAAGAGCCCATATCCGATGTTCAATTGGATACAGAGTAGTCTCACCATGATTTAATCCTAGGGCTACGATTGGATATATCGTGTATACTGAAGCATTACTTATCATCAAAACAAAAGCCACGGCATAATTGGTGACAGGGTCATAAGTGAAGTTAACTAAATGCCACCATGATTGAAATTTTCTTTCAAACCTATTTGCATTGTCCCAAATTACTTTTCTAATTTCAGTGGGTATAGTGCCATCCTCACCTTCTCTCACGATTGTCGCTGCTATAAACTGCATCCACATCTGGGCCTGAATGCAACTGAGGGCTAAAGAAGTATTACCTTGGACTGCTGAAAGCGCATCCATAATCAACAGATGATCTTTCCTATCTATCTTTTCCCATTGCGGTAACACATCTGATAAAAGCCATTGGCTTGTTCCTAAACCTGATAGGGACGACTGTAGAGGATGTTGCAATTCACGTATATTACTTGTAATGGCATTCAATTTATTCATGAGTATTTCAGTGTCTATACTGTTTAAGACTCCTAAACCTGTTCCCAGAATACCAGAAACATCTCTTTTTGCTCTTCTAGATGTATCAAGTGCCTGTCGATGAAGCCATGCTGACCATCCGGCATATGACATGCCTAAAAATAATGCACAATCTGGTTTAATAGTTGACACATTAGTCTGCAATAATAGCATCACTCGTTTAAGGGACCACGTTGGATTAAAGATCACCTGACGCTGACCTGTGTTCTTTATGGCGTACGGCCCGATTTGATAAATTTGTGGGGAGATAACACTCTCCAGTCTCCTAGTGGGAGTTATATATGGGACATCAGTTGTTTGTTGATTAAGGAGATCCACCTTGAATTTAAAAGATCGTCCTAAGGTGTCTTGTGTCCAAAGGCATGTTATCATTACAGGTTGGGTCAGGATGAAATTATACTGGCAATCTCCCTGTTCAATAACACAGGATTTACGATCCCTTACGCCTGATATAACATCTGTTTTCGAAATTTGAGTGGCCTTCTTATAGTGAGATCCATTTACCATCCAACACTTTACTTCTATATTCTGCCCTGGTTTTCCCCAAATTCGTGGAGATCTGGTAGCATTCTCCCATCCCCATTCACTTTTGTCATACGGTCTGTTTTCCCGTAACACCACGGTCAGCAAAGTCAAATTATTTACTGGTCCCATCATTCCTGTATATTCCTTACGACCATACCGTAAATCACTGATAGTTATACCCTCTCCAGGAGAAATAGCTGTAAACAACAAAAACACACAGATAACAACACAAGAGAGATTGATCTCGTCGTTATCAGTGGCTCCTTGTCTGTTTCCTTTCCCGAGGCGGGCTTCGGTCGTGGCTTCGGTCGAGGGTTCGGTGTTTTTTCTTGACGAGTTCCAAACAGCAATGCCTGAAAACAAAGCACTCAGTTCTTGATTATTTCTCTGCTTTTCCATCATGTCCCACTTACATCAGGTTTAACTTTCCTGGATGGGACCCACAAAATTTTTCCGGAATTCTTATTTTTTACTGCAGCATATCCTCTTCCCCATACCAAAATAGACCAGCCCGATTCCCAAATACCACTATCTACCTTGATCTTAACCGGTGGCCCTTCCTCAATGATTCTTGGCTGCCAATGCTTTTGTATCGGGGTTCTTGTGTTTTCCCCACGCTCAAAATGATTCAATGCATATAATGCTCGTGCCAAAATCTCTCCTTGTTCTGATACCGGAATTCTTCCTGTATGTCCTCCGCCCTCCCCCAGGACACGAATTTTTTCTCTGAGGAGGCGGTTAGCCCTTTCAACAATAGCTTGACCTTGTGAGTTGCCTGAAATTCCTGTAGTATGTGTGATATTCCAACGGGCTAACCATTCTTTAGACGAACGTGAAGTAAAACAAGAACCATTATCTGTTTTTATATGGCGTGGCATTCCCAAAATTGCTATGGCTGTGGCCCAATGATGTTGTGCCGCCGTAGAACTGGTACGGCTGTGCTGTGTAGCAATAATGACTGTAGAGGACGTATCAACTGTCACTGCGAGCCATTGTCTTGGTGCCATTCGCGGTTCCATCATGAAATCTGTCTGCCAAATATCCAATGGGGTGAGACCACGGGGATTAACCCCTGCCCCTAACGCCGGCGCAGAATTACAATATGGACACATCTGCACAATTTCCCTAGCAACTGTGATAGGGATAGAACACGTTCGAGCTAATGCTTTTGCCCCTATGTGTAATGTAGAATGAAGATCACGAGCCTCTTGTAGGGTATATACCTGCTTCCTAGCCATTTGATCAGCTATTTCATTTCCTTTTGTAAAAAATCCTGGAACATCAGAATGGCTACGGACGTGAAGAATAGCAACTGGCTCTGACCTGACCACTAAGGCATCTTCCAATAGGGCTGCAGTTACTGTATTGGGCTGTCCCTCTTTGCCCATACGCAGTAACATTTTAGCCACGAATGCAGAATCAGTAACGATGTTACAAGGTGTCTGAGGCCAAAGGCGTAACGCAACTGCCACAGCTCTGGCCTCAAGCATTTGAACACTTGCTGAACAATCTATTATCACCTTAGACTCCCATTTGCCATCCTGAGCTTGCCAGACAGCTACTCCTTGTTTGGTAGCTGAAGAAGCATCAGTAAAAATTGTTGGGCCGTCCACAGGGGTATCCAGTACTCTATACTGCAGTGATATCTGGAGAGGCCTTGCTAGATCAAAGATAGGCAGTGAGTCTGTGTAGCTAAGATTACCACTGAAATCATGGAGAACAAGGAAAACCTCCTCTGGCAAAGGCTGAGCGTTCCGAAAGGTTCCTGGTAGGTATATAATATCAAGGTCCTTTCCAAAGGCCCTTATTGCAGTAAGACGTGTTTTACGTAACAATAACGAGAGTTGTTCTAACCACGAGGTAAATGCTTTTGTCGGCTGAACAGAAAACAACCAGCACAATGGGCGAGGACGAGAGCTAAGGGCATGCCCTATTACAGCTGCTGATCCCTCCTGGCATCTAGTCACTGCGCCTTCTAGTGGCTGATCTGAATTCCACCTTGCAAGCGCGTTGCAGGAACAGGCTACTAGTATTTCTTGCCAAGCAGACTCCATCTCTGGTGTCCACCGTCTCTTTTCCTGAGGATTAGATCCCTTTAGCTGATCATAAAAGGGTTTCATAAGCCGTGGAGGTATGCCTAATGCATTTCGCACCCATTGCATGGCCCCCACAAGCTTCTGAACATCCCACAGGGTTGTAATATGGGGTTTAACTTTTAATCCTTCTGGGATCACCGTTTCAGATCCAAACCTGTATCCCAGGAACTCAATTCCTGGTTCTCTCTGAATTTTTTCTTGTGAAATAACAAATCCAGCAGTAGTAAGCACATTAACTATCTGCTCCTCTAACACTTGCAGCTGGGAATCACTTGGTGCTGCAAGCAACAGGTCGTCCATATAATGAGCAAGCTGACAGTTCGATAGTGACTGTCTTACTGGTTCTATAATTTTGCCTACTACCAATTGACAAATTATTGGAGAGCAAGTCATTCCTTGTGGAAGAACCTTCCACTGAAATCTTTGAGCAGGTCCCTGATTGTTCAGGACCGGGACAGTGAATGCAAAAGCCTCTCTGTCCTGCTCTGCTAGCGGAATAGAAAAGAAGCAGTCCTTAAGGTCAATGACCATCAGGGGCCATCCTTCCGGTATAGCCGAAAGCAGAGGTCCCCCTTGCTGAACCGGACCAAAAGGGATAAGTTGTGCATTGACTGCTCGGAGATCATGCAACAGTCGGAAAGATCCCGATGCTTTTCGAATTACAAAAACAGGCGTATTCCAACTACTGAGTGACGGTTCTATATGTCCTGCATTAAGTTCTCGTGAAACAATCTGTACAAGCGCTGCTAATTTATCAACAGAAAGGGGCCACTGATCCACCCAAACGGGAAATACATCCCGTTTCCAACGCAACGGAATCGCATATTGCAGCGCTAAATGATGGACAGTGGCCCTTTTCATAAATTTGTCAGTTTTACTCCCATCTCAAAAAGAAAGTCCCTGCCAAGTATGGATCCTCCTATTGGTGCTAAAGTAGGAAGGATGATTACATTTTTTTCCATGGTACCATCATCATTGATGATCGCAAGCTCTACCACTCTGTCTGCCTTTCTGGTGGGCACATCGCCCCCCACACCCGCAATTGTTCTCCACATAAAAGTCGCGGGCCACTGCCGAGGCCAGTCATCTTCTGAGATGACAGTAATATCTGCACCAGAATCAAGTAAGGCTACAAAAATTACCGCTTTGGGCACCGATGATGGAAGATCTGGATCCATATATGACATCCTAACCGTAACGATTGGTCGTTCTTCTAAATCCATAGTTAATGCCACTGCGGGCGTTGTGCTTTTGGCCCACCTAGGGATGACGGGAAGGAGTCCTGGGCCATTGGCTCCCTCCCTCTCCCGTTTCCCTGCAGCGAGATTCTAAATTTTTTACACTGACGTGCGACATGTCCGGCTCCGCCACATAATTGGCACCGTTTGTCTGATCCTTGCCCCATCTTCTTAGGGCACTGTGCTTTGAAATGGCCACGCTGCCCACACCTAAAACACGGGCCTTTATTCCTTCCTTCCTTGACCCGATTGGCGTCTATCATTTCCTGCATGGCGGCTGCTAATCCCTCATTAGTTAATGGTGCAACTTTCTGATGATCTAACACATATTTAATAAGCTCCCCTGGGGTAGTTAGGTTACCCGGTGCTGCTCTGATGATTTGCTGGATGTCTGGCAACGATTTCTGTTTAAGACATTCTATTATGACTGCGGATTGGACCTCCCTTGGGAGATCAGATCCCTCCACTGCGCGAATTAGGCGATTCGCAAAATCAGAAAATGACTCAGAGTGGCTCTGCTTTATGTCTGCCCACGGATGCACAGGTTCCGCAACCTTAGCCACTTCTCGCAGGGCTTGGAGGGCTGCCGTTGTAACAGCTGCCAGCTCTCCTGGTCTGAGCATTGCTGCTTGGCCCTCCGGGGATCCCACCATTCCATCTGCCAGGCCCTGAAGACGTGCAAGATTAGTTCTCTCGCCTCTGCGCTGGCCGTTGGCTGGATGGTGGGGGTCCCGGTTGGCAGCAGCCACCACAGCTTGAAGTAGTCTATTCCATTCATCATTCCACAGGGTGTATTGTACGGGCTCAAGAATAACATGCATAAGGTTCACCGCATCATATGGCAAAAGACTAGAAGCCATAAGAGCTTCCACTGCTGCCATAGTAACAGGGGAACGCAGGCCTTTGCTCTTAACTAATTCCGAAAGACGAGTAACCGCTTTGGACTCCAGAGGAACCCAAGCTGGACCCTCTGGTCTTATCACCACCGGCAAAGTGAGAGCGACACCTGCTGGATCTGCGGCCTGTATATCCTCCCTCACTCGAGCCCAATCAGTGAGGGTAGGCAGGCCCCATGAAGCTGTCGATATGGGACCACGCCCCTCCTGGGTGGACTCCAGGGCCATCCCCGTCGGAACGCTCCCCCCACAGCAAGGCCGGGGACAATCCACGCCCCTCGGGGGGTGGCCACCGTAGCAGGCAGAATCGGGCAGTAGGTGAGTCCCGCCCCCACTGTCGCATTCCACAGGTTGTATCCCAGCCCCTCCAGACATCTCTCCCTTCTCAAGGACCCTCTTATCAGCTGTACTAGAAGTTATAGCACTTTCCTCCACCGACCCCCCTTCCCCGTTATCTTTACAGGGCTTAAGCGAAGGATATATGCTGCGAGCCGGGTATGGAGGTGGGTCCTCCCTTTTATGGTATGATTGCTCCTGCTTCACTTCGTTCTTCTTTATCTCC